ACGGCTATACCACATTCCTGATAGATTGTGTTCCCATCAATAATTTTTGATTTACTACCATAGAAAGCATTTTCTTCGGAAATAATTGGAAAGCTTTTCTCCTGAAGATCTTTGATCGAAGGAGGGAATAAAGAATGTTAAACGAATGTGATTTTTACTCCATCTCTCAATCTTATTGTGATACCTCGATTAAGATGGTAGGGTCTTAGCCTCACCAGAGGATTCGAAGAATCAGACGTTCTGGACAAGGTATCTAATAAGTTATTTTGTTTTGCATATAGAGACGAGATAAATATTTCATCCGTATCACTTTTGCAATTCGATGACTGATAAGTCATTGGTGAAATATAAGCTGGTTCCGGAACACTTGGTATCGCATTTACTGCCATAGTTGTTATCTTAGCCTTGAAGCAAGAGCAATCCCAATGATTCTTCATCAAATCTTCAGACTCAACTTCATAGGTCCATCTGCGCCATCCATCATAATAAACTTTTCTAGACTTGATTTCAGCAATTTTCATCAATTTCCAGCATTTGAAACAGATAGCCATCTGACTTTTATGAATACTAGGTCTACGATAGCCAAAGTAATCTTCATATAACTCATCGTTAATGTAGTATGTTTTAGATTCTACTTGCCTGAATGAAGCGAAAAGGCTATACACATGATATAAACTATATTCTTGCTTAGAAAGTAATTCTTGTAAAGAATATCTTACACGATTAGCCCATTGCTGAGGTGTTTCATGAGGTCTAATGATAGATAAATAATCATATTGCTTTTCTATTTCAACCACTTCTTTAATCTGTTCATTTAAATAACCATGATAATAGTTAGCAACATGTTCCATATCATATCTAGGACGAAGATTGATAGGTTTAGGTACAGCTTTATTATAAATATTATCTAAAATGATCTTAACCATTAGTTCAGGCATTTGATAATTATATGAGATTATGGGTAATAAATAAGACTTATAGCAATTTTAATGATTTTATCGATTATAGTATTTTAAAAGACTTTTAGCAGTTTGTAGCAAGTATATTATAATAAAATATCAGATTCATTTTTATTTGATTACAAACATATCGGGAGGTTTATATAGGGTCATATATCTCGGCTATGCTAATTCCTTTTTCTCATATTCACATGTATGTAAGGGATTTTCCAATCAGAGGAGTATGACGTATATCATATCACAGGAATCGTCCTAGCTCTCTGTCAGTTTTATGACAGTTCTCAGACACTTCTTTAATGCTAGCTAGTCACTGAAATCATAAGATAAACAGCTAATCAGATTTCAGATTTTTTCTTTAGCTGGATAAGCATAATGGAAATTCAAAAAAATGATTATGAATAAAATACACGTGCTTGTCCGAGCTTGTCAAGCAAAAGCTAGATCAGCATCCGGTAAAATTTATCTCCCAAAATAGTCGATCGTTAAGGCATTTCATAAGTCATTATACATGACTATCTGATGGTAGAGTCTGGACACAGTGTCTGGGCTCGGCAAATTATTTTCCATGAAATTTGACAATCAGTTATACACATTTAAAAAATAAACCCCTGATATGAGCGGGATATACAAATGCTTTATTATATGTTTGAGAATATATGTAAACGAAAATTCTGTTTTTTTTTTTCTGATGGTAGAGTCTGGACACAGTATCCGAGCTCGACTTAATTGCGCAGAAGAAATAGCGCAGTATATTAACAAACCTTTTGTTTTAAGATTTCGACCATTACATATTCCTTTTCATCCTTAGTTAGATTTAAGATGAAACCTGGAGGGGTGGATTTTATCCGTGCTATTTTTTCTTTGCCTATACTATTAAAAAGCTTATAAACCTTTTCAGATCTCTCCATCTTTTTTCGCAAAGCTTCTTCAGAACATTTTGCCTTAGGAATCGCTTCTCTAACCTCTCTTTTGACTAATGCTTGGGATCCATCCTTACCATGTTTGAGTTTTAATTCTTTATATCATTTAAATACAGCTTTCCCAAAATCAAAATAACTGTAAATAAGACCTTGAAATGTAACTTCGTTTTTAGTTTCGGAATTATCAATCTTATTGGAGAGTTGCAAAAAAATACTGATTGCGCTTTCATTATCTTCTTCCAAGTTCTCTCCAATAGCGGGAACAGGTGTATCAGTTAATAATTCTTCAATAAGTTTTTTTAACATAGACGATACCTTCTTCCCACCAGTCTTTTTCGCTTCTTGTTAGAGGATTTTTCCATAGAATGAGTATCTTTACGTTTTTTACCTTACTGCTTGAGGAAACAGAGTGGATTACTCGGGTTGAGTTGATCTTAAAGAAATACTTTCTACTTCTTCACCGTCATTATCTTCCTCTGGCATTTCTTCTTCCCTATTCACATTTACGTCAATTTCTTGATTTGGCACCTCTTCTTGGATTACTGGCGAATTCATCTGAAGTTAGTTGTTCATTTTCCTAACTATCGATGAAGTACTTGATTGAGATGATACAGAAAATCTCCATTCAGTGACCACGGGGTTAATGATCACAGTACAATTATCGATAGGGCAGTTGTTTTGTTGAGTAAGTAAAAAAATTTTCTCGATACATTCTCTATGAAAAACATGACCACAGCTAAGTACTGTAAATGCTTTGATAGGAAGAATTAGAATCTCGTTATTACACTCTGAACATGATCCCAGCTTCGGAACTTCCATGTCTCTAACTGATTCATCCTCGAGATTTTTTAAGATATTATAAGCAAGATTCTTAAACTGTTTAAAGACATAATCTAATACAAAACATATGCGAGATACCACCGTCATATTCAATATTTTTATAAAAAATATTTCTCCGCAGTTAATGCTATGATCGTCGCAAAATATGAAACAAATATGATAATCCTATCTATTAATTTACTGATCCCAAAATTAAGCTGTATTAACATGTAGGCCTCTAATCATTCAATAAAGTCCTGTATCGCAACTAGACATTGTTTCTTTCTCCAGTCACATTTGTTTGGGAAAATATAAGAATAGGAAGTTAATAGAATTTCTTTTTACTTGATATATGAGAAAATCCCCTATTATACAGACTTGCCTTGTGATCAATTTATCTGTCACACAATCTGTAGCTCAGTAACATCAAATGGTAATGGTTTTTTAATATCAGATTTTAACAATTTTAGCATGTTTTCTAGACCCTCCAGACTTTTTTCAAATACTTTGTTTGTTTCCCTCAAATCAGGGAAAATAAGGGATGAGGAATCATGATCAAGTCGGCTCATTTCTGGCTGATCCTTTTGGGTCTGCTCCTCATTTTTATTGCTTTCCATTTCTTATCTGCAAAAAATATTAATAAAAAAAATATGCATAACGCTCTAGCATTATCTGAATTACTAGAAGCTATCTTCACTTTTCTTGACCGGAAAGATCTTTATAGGAATTGTGCCAGAGTAAATCATCATTGGAATGCTGTATCTAAGCTTATTATTCGAAAAAAGAGAAAAGTTGAGTTTATTAGTATTCCCAGCATTCGTGATAATATTATTTTTCACCTATACGAAAATTATCTTAATATTGCTGAAATTGTTAACTACTGCAATGTGAGCGAGATATGAAGTAATATCCTAAATCGTTTATATGCAAAGACTATTTCTCTTTCTATGCTAAATAATCATAAATGTTCCTTGAATTCTTCTCACTATGGCGGAAGACAACTATTTCATAATAAAAAATGACTTATATGTTATTTTACAAGTCGACGTACACAATATTATTTAAAACATGATCATGAACTAAACGGTTACTATCAGGATATCTTATCTCAATATAATATAAGGGATGAATTTCTTAGACTGGCCAGAGTCTTCCACTCTTATGACTATTTGTCAGATACTGAGGATGAATTTCATAGACTAGCCAAGACCTTTCGCTCTATTATCTACTAATTGATTATTTTTGCGCTATAAAAAAATATAAGATCTATATTAGCTCTAATCTTGTTCTCTGTTCCAGGCTATGATATGTGAATTAAATAACCTCAGGCATCAAGCGTGTCCACTTATATATGATCATCCTCTACAAAATATAACGTTTCATCATCATAATAAAGGATCTTATTTATAAATTATTTTATTCCGAATCCAAAAGGTCTATTATATTCTTTTGGAGCTAATCCTCTGTATGTATCTTTTTTAATGAAATCTAAAAATTCTGATTCTTTCCATTTATCTACATCCCACCATGGGACAACATTTTTAGCTATTTGTCGAATATTATATTTGACTATTTCTTTTTTCTGTTCTTCGAGCATTCCATTATGAAGCATATATCTTTCGATCTCTACCTGTTTTTTAGCTATTTCGGTTTTCCTTTCAATAAATTCCTTTGTTTCTACATCCAAATTATAGGGATATTCCAGTTTCTCTTCTTTAAGTCTCAATTTATAGTATTCTAGCACTTGTACCTTCCATCTTTGCCGAAACTCATGCTTGATTTCTTCATACCAAGTACTATTTATCCAGTAGAATTTATCAAGGGCTTCTAATGGGAGCTTTTTGACGATCTCAGCAATTATATCTGCTTTTTTGAGTGGGTTGTATGAATGCATTGTATATACTTTTCGGTATATTATCGTTAGAAAAAAAGTTCAATTTAAAAATATTTCCCAGAATAAAAAAAAACATTTATTCTAACTTCTCTGATACTAGTCCTGCTCATCGCTAGGGCTATTCATCTTCAAATATGAGTTTTATTTTTGGTTATGAGTTTTGAAAATCAGATATTATATTCTTTCCAATCTGTAAACATCCCTAATTTCTATCGTTTCCAATCTAGGAGTCAGCCTTGGAATTTTAAAAAATGTTTTTGGGCTTATGCGCTTAGAACCTATTATCGTGAGTCTTTTTAAATTGGGGGACTCGGCTAGAAGCGCTTTTAGATTTTTATTATTAAGTATACGTGATCCACTATTTTCAAAACCTAACCGTTGCAAATTTAGGCACGCCTTGCACACTTTGGAAATGTACACATATGGCTCTATATTTATTTCTCCAATAAATTTTAGACCTAGCACTTGTGCACATGCATCTGGCTTCGTATCTTTGCTTAATGCCTTTGTGAACTTGATCTCAGAAATTCCTATTAGAACTATTTTTTTCCATATTAGTCTTCTAGCTAAATAGTACCATTGCTTATTAACTAATAAAAGAGAATGTAATTTCTCGCCCCCATTTTTTCTATGATATTGGAAAATCCTATCGAGAATCTCATTTAGCATTGAGGTTATATAATGGATGGATGATTTTTTCGATTTTAGAGATGGTAGATCTATTTTCTTAAAATCGATCCACTTTAGATTCATCACATTTTTTATCGTTACGATACCTGATTTTGCAATTTTTAGATCACTCTTTCTACCTTCATATCTTTCTATCAGCTATTCAGTATTTTTATCTGAAATAATAAAACCATCTGTGTGAATACGCTTTACACGATCTCCTAGAAGTCTAATTTTTTTTGATATAATTTTGCATCTATTTGCTGAGATAAAAGGTACTATACGCCGATGTGGACCTGGTCTTCGTCCATCTGAGAATAAACGTCCCCAGAGAGATACTAACATGTGTTTAGCAACTTTTCCTGCCTGACCGCCTTCTTGCTTAATCTCTATAAGATAACTTGCCCATTGATAGAAGACTTCACTTCCGTACATAAGATGCCTAAATATTAAAGCATTTGGGCTTTTAGATGATAATTCTATATCAAGACCTAGATTTAACGCTAATTATATGTCATAGTGAGTATAATATCCTGCTGGATTATAGCGAAATGACCTTGTGCATTTTTGTTCTGCTGGTTGGCCTCTTATGGTTGCACGATAAATTCCATAATTTAGAGTATAGTCGATAGGATCAGTACTAATATGAGTGATTGTTTTAAATTCTCCTGGTCCTATTGGCCAATATGTATCTCCATTTGCTAAGATGTGAGGGTAATATTCATTGAAATCTAGCTTGGTAGCAATTCCTTCATATGGCTCTGCCCATGATAGTCCTCCTATGTAAGCCGATTTTATCCAATGATCCTCTTTAGGTGATAAGTTTTCAGCTTTTCTAGGTGCTCTAGTAACATCTTGAAAGAAACGCAAGCTTGCCATAGCATATGTTCCAGTTTTTCATAAATCTATCTGCCTTTCACTTCGCCATGATATTGCATTGGCTTCCTCATTGTAACGAAAATACGCTTCCTGAAGTGTTTCATTCAGATTGACTTTGATTAAAAACCAGTCTCATGATAAATCATGGAAGTCACTTTCGCTACCAATCCATTGTATAGATCTATTATAGAATTCGACATAGTTGCCTTTCTTTTTCCAGAATAAGAATCTCCTAATTACTGAATACCATCTTATATCAGTATTTTGGTAAGTTAAGGCGGTCTCATAGTCATTCTCCCCATCCGACTCCACCTCTGGCTCTACTTCTGATACTGGTGGCTCAGAAGGCTTGGGTAACTCGAGTGGCATCAGATCTCCCCAAAAATTTCCAAATAATCGCCCTAGTGCACCGGTTATACTACCAAGTAATCTGCTCATTTTTTTCCTAAAAATTATATATGGTTACAAAAAGTTTAAAATAAAAATTAATTTATTCAGATAATTAGAGTTACATATTTATTCAAAAAGAAAAGACTATTAGAATAGGATTTTATAATTGTCCGTATATTTTTAGGACTGGAGAAGTATGCAATGAGGGGTGCTATCGGCCAAAAGGGTGTAAAATTCATTGAAAGTCTCCTAGCCGGGTTCCCTATATAGAATGTGGAAAATTAATTTCCTCTGTTTATAGTACTTGTAGGAAACATGCAGGCAAATATCGCATTCGAGATTTTTATTAACATCAGAAGCTTGCAAAAATTCGGGCTAGTGACGGGCTAGTGACAGGAATATAATATGTATGATCATTTATATCACTTGATTTTTTCATGTTTTGGGTACATGCTCCACTTTGCTCTGCAACCATGCGATCATATCTTGTATATACTCCGCTTTGCTCCGCAGAGTGTGGACACTATTTGTTTTCATATCTTGTATACATGCTCTGCACCTTCGGTGCTCCGCAGAGTGTGACACTATTTGTTTTCATATCTTGTGTACATGCTCCGCACCTTCAGTGTTTCGCAGAGTGTGAACACTATTTGTTTTCATATCTTGTGTACATGCTCCGCACCTTCGGTGCTCTGCAGAGTGTGAACACTATTTATTTTCATATCTTGTGTACATGCTCTGCACCTTTGGTGCTCCGCAAAGTGTAGACACTATTTGTTTTCATGTTTAGCGATCATATATGTGAAAAATTTTGTTACCCAAAATGGATTCCAAAGGGTTTCAGACAGGAACGTATCAAAGTAGATTTTTTTTTAACCACTTAGAAACAAACGATTACAGAACGAATGCTAATCAAAAAAGCAAATTGGTTTTCTTAGGGTTACAAGTATTAATTCATTAGAAATTTGATATGAGAAATTCAATATAAGAAAATTGTAATATTCAGGATGAACTTCTGAAGGCATTCGGGCTTTTTGTGCCAAAAAGCCTATTTTATAACTACTGTGTAGAAACATATTTAGGATGAAGAAAATAAATTCTTTAGAAAGCTTTAAACGTTTTAAAGCTTTAACCAGCATAAAAATATTGACCTGATCGTAAGTTTTAGATATATCTTGTAAAAGGACCTACAGTTCTTTTTTGTTAGAGAAAGCATCATTTTTTATATTGTCTAGAATGTGCAAGGGTTCAAAGGTGGAGCGGAAGGGCAGCCCTGCAAAATTATATCCTTTAAAAATATTGTGTTAGACGAAGATGGTTGAGAGTCATATATTAATAAGTTTTATAAGAGCTTTTCTTAGACATTCTAATAAGATAATCAGTCTTGTATTATTCAGATCAAATTTTCAGAGTTTAGGTTTTGGAATCAGATAAACATACGTCAGATTCTATTGATACGAAAGTGTTGAAATCAATAAATAACCACATATTATATATCAAAAAATTTTTTTAGCTAAGGGGCTTAGGTGTTTAAGCATTTCATTTGAAATCTTAGATGAGTCAGATGCTCTGCTATCAGTAAGGAAATTAACGATTGAATACTATTCTTCTGCTGAGGGTGGCAACATTAGATTATTATATATACCAGAATCAATATCTATTAGTGGGTTGTATGAAGGGAGCTATTCGTCAAGGACGCTTTTCAGTTCATATATGGTACCTACCGCTCTTTGAAAATGGTCATTAACTATTTGTTTAACTAAGTGTTCATTTGTGAGGAGTTCTGAAGCATTCTTTGACAAACATCTGTCTAGTATGATTGTCTTTCTTGAATGGTTTAATGCTGAATCTAGTATATATTTAGGGTTGTTAGCATATGCATCTAAGCATTAGTCTAAATATTTTTGTATAGAGGTAAGTTTGAATTCATTTTCGTGAAGTTTGGCCTTGCATAAGAGAACTTTGAGCAAGAGAACTGTGTCTGAGAGAAGGAGGTCAATAAAATTGAATGGATAATCTGGATGGGAATGCATAGTAGTAAATGCAAGTGAGTTAGCTATGTTGTGAAAATTATCGTACATTTGTATCTAATTTACAGGAAACGAATCACCTTGTTTGATTTTAAGGAGTAACTTTTTGAATTTGTATAAAGTCTTTTGATGTGAATATAATTTTTTAGGCCAGGTGGTCTTGGATACTTAAATTGTTCTGACGATTTTCTGAGTGGTATACATTTTTCAGCTGCTTTAATTAACAAATCTTGAAAGAGGTCCCAGTATTTATTAAGTAAGGAGTACGTCCAATACTGTCTTTTAGTTAATTATTTTAATTGGACTATCATTTAATAGTGCATCGAGTTTATTTCAGAATTTATTTCATAAGTCCTCGTTCATTTTAAAATCAAAACTGATTTTTCTGAGTATTTTGCATTTGTTAAATTTGATGTTTAAGAAGTTCGTAATTGTAGCAATGACTATATAATGATCTGATATATTTGTATCAGGCATGACTGTATAACAATTTAAAATGTTAAGAGAGATTTTAGCAGAGGTCTAAATGTAATCAATCCTAAAAGAGACTTGGCTCAAAAAGTAAGTAGAAAAGTCAATTCTATTTTGATCATATTTGATTGTGAAAGCATCCCTATAAAAAATTTGCATACGTTTTTTCATTATTATAAATAAGTTTTGTATATGTTTTTTGAAATTCCGTATCA